CTTTATTAGAAGTAAAACAAAAGTTATTTTTTTCTGTAGAAAATTTGATTTTTTTTCTTCCATTTTCTCTTTCTAGTTTTCAAACATTGTTTGCATTATGGCTGCAATTTAAGTTATTTTCTATCTTGAATTTAGCCACAYTGAGCATTTAAAGATGTCTGTAAATTGTATGAAGCACTTTATTTTGGAGAAAAAACTTTATTTTTTGTTATAGATAATCAAATTAATAATACATTTTAAGCTTTAAACAATCTACTTACAGTATACAGTAATAATTTAACAGTTAAAGTTTCTAAATTGCATGCATTTAAGATAACYTATACTATGACATGGATCAAATAAATTTCAGTATGCAGTTAGGGAGGGAAATGTAACATAATGACAAAATCTGACGTATTGACAAAATCCACTGCGTTGACAGTGGAAAATGTAGTTTTTGAAAAAAAAATCACTACAACAAGTAATAGGAAAATATTGTTTCTGGACATTAGTGATTGAAAACCTTGCCCCTGTTATTAGCCAATGTAGCATCTTTACAACATGACACTGACCGAGCAGATAGTCGAGCGACGTAACACCGGTCGAAACTAAGAGCTGTCCATTTTGCACCGAAGGTCTGGTACCGGGTATGGRGATTAATTTGCTCYTCGTTTTCTTCTGAAAGCTTGTAGTATTGAACGGTAAACGTTCAGCTGAAGTCTTATCCACACTGCTCATGGAMGCTGCCATATTGCTAGTAACATGGCGACGCCCTCAACGTTTAGGTGCACACTGTCCAATCAGAAACGCGTTTGTTGAGGCTTGACCAATGAAGATAGAGAATGTTGTGAYGTTGATTCAGAAAACGGAAGTGTAATTTGTTTTGATCGGTGCATGGTCAGAACGTGAATGACAGTCTGGTAAGTAAAGAAAACGACGCTGTTATTTGTTTTTCTAAGTTAGCCGCAACATTTCTGTATGCATGTACGTTCACATCCGTTATTTCACTTGTATTTTCTAGATCTAAAAATAAAAATATATAGTGGCTTTTTTTTTGTGCGGAAACGACCTTGTTGTCGGAGTTTAAAAAAATCCGAACATGCTACACATATCATATGTGTACAAAAGCAAACAAAATTACAAAAGCAAACAAAATTACAAAAGCAAAACATGTGTCATATGTTTTGCTTTTGTAATATTGTCTTAGAGTAAAGGATCGTTACTGCACAAATAAAACTGAACTACAACGCACAAATTAAATTAAGCCATAATGCGCTTCAGTAAGCAAAAAGGAAATGATTTTTGCAGCAGTTTCCTTTATAAACTAAACTATATGTATCCTTTCACCTCTCCCCATTCTCCTTTAAAACCGTCCTTACAAACCACAAAGTTAAACTCTCCATATGAAGACAAAAGAGATATAAAATAGAAACAGTGGTGTTTAAGTATTCCAGGTGCATATTCTCCATCTTTGTTAGGATAGGGTAGCATCATCTATTGTTAACAAGCACTTCAATCCATACCTTCATTAATCAGTTCATCCATTCATTAATCTGTCCACTCCCTATAATCTCAATTTAGGAAGTCTGACAGCAGGATAGATGTGCTTTGATTTCCAAAATGTGTTCAGGCAGCCRTGTTTTGTTGAAATGCATATTAAAATATTCTCAATTTTGTTGTGCTTCATGGCCTTAGTTCTATTTTTCAGTAATTACATATTCCTCATTATTGAATTATTGAGGTAAAGAAATGGTTTAATCTCTTTTTTTTGCTCCTGTTCTTTACAGCCGTTTCGTCGTTTTTTTCGTGTGCGTGTTTGAACGTAATTAAGTTTTCAAAGGTTTAGTCAGATGATGTTAGCAGTTTTCTTGTTGGCATAGCTTTTCATAATAATATGCTAAAATAAATTGGCAGCTTCAATTCAACTCAGTTTATTTATATAGACTTAATTGATGTAGTTGTAGTGGTTTGTCAACCTTCCTAGCATCCAAAACAGAGCAGATAGCTGTTTTAAAAATTACTAGACAAAACAATTCTATTTAAGAACTTGCACAAATGGTTGGTTGGTTGGTTGGACTGTACTTATATAGCGCCTTTCCATCCATCCAGGACACTCAAAGCACTTCACACCACAGACATTCACCCATGCACACACACACATTCACACACAAATGATTGGTCCTCTAATCATTTGTACCATATGAAAGGATTATCAGATTTAGGAGGAAACTGTTTACATTATCCTTTCTATGTTTCAGTTGCAAAACATCGTAAATCAGAAATGTTGTGATTTTTGTTGAAAATGCAAAGCCACCATATCAGTAAAATGAAGTGGTTAAGTAATTTTACTGGGTAAAGCTGACATTTTTCATGTAAATACAAAAGAGATAGATCAGGATATGATACAGTATGTTTGTACATTCTGTTTTTTTTTAGAAAGAAGTTTGTGTTAAATTGTGCTCTTGATGTTGTACATAGATACTTTCCCAAAGTAATAGAACTAAGAAAATGAGATTGCTGCACCACAGGGCTCCATCTGATCAGACCGGGTAAATTAGGGGCTCTCTTGTAGACACTTTTTCTTTACATTTTCATGTTTCTTGTATCTTTTCCAGTTGCTTTTTTTTCTGCTTGCAAAAACCACAAACTGCTCAATTTCAYGTATTTTGAAAATTCTTAATGCTTTGCACCAATAAAACTGTTGGACYGAAGAGTTATCAGTATTCTCCTTAAGACAGCTGTAAAAATCTTTGTGMAGCAGAGAAGGGCCAGAGGCAGCACAAGATTGCAGGATGCTGTGATTCTCCAGAGGAAGCACTTGCCCAACTGCTCACTTTACAAATGCTCTCAGCAGAGAAAGTCCTGCTGTTTTGACAGCAATGTTGAGACTTATGTGTGCTGACAGGAGGCCAAGGGAATATATCATGACTGACAACACTGGGCATTGTGGAAAGACAATACGAGACAAATAAGATGCGCTGACTGACCTGCATCTTGAAAGGAAAAAAACTGCTACAGCAGTACAATGTGCATAATGTGAGAATGACATTTTCTCCGTTTTATTGATTAAAAATTCCCTCTTCAACTTGTTTAAATCCTGGACTCTTTCACAAAGGGTGTTGTGTGATACAAAGCACCCTGAGTAACTGTATAAAATAACACATCACCAACGTTTCAAATCATGATTTAGCAAGTAGGTGTTTTTCTGAAAGGAGTTTTTTTTTAACAGTTCTTTCAGCTGCTATCTGATTTAGCTAAATAATAGCAGCAGTCATAACATGTCAGACCTTTCCTGGTCAGAATGTTTTGGTTTTTTTTTTTTTTTTTGTCTTATTTTGCCATCAGTGTGGATTTGTAAGAAGCAGTTGAACTTTTTCCGGAGGATGCAAGATTATCATCAACATGCATCACGTTTGTTTTGTTAATGTTGAAAGAAAAGCAAAAGTCTAAAGGAACAAGTACAATAAGTGTTTAGGATAGGCTTTGTGTACAGCTTTTTTTTATTATAAGAACAATTTTTTTCCATGTATTCAAGATTCCATACTTGAATAGCTTTATTTTGGTCTCCTGAGATATATATATATATATATATATATTGCAGATGCTCCATTTGAGTCATATTTAGTTTAACTAAGAGACTTAAAGACTGTTAAAAACAATGCTCTGGTAGAATTAAAGGAAACTACTATCTTAAAATTAGTATCTTTATTGAGATGTCTGTCACTACCCAGGACTAAAATRTATAAATTTGTGTTGTGTGTCAGGCAGTGGGTAACCCAAACTTCTTTGTAAAACTGATACAACATTAGATAAGATCTCTGAACTCTCTCAGCACCGGACCAGCACCACACAATCTCTTGTGGTCAATACAATAAGGCTTAGTAACTGGCTTTCCATTGAATGTAATTGGCTGGGGACTCTGTCAGCCTGTGCTTCCTTTCAGCTTGCAGCAGTTGTATTCATATCACTTGGCTATTATTTGTTCTAGCTGACCCACTGATTGTAGGTATAAACTAAAAGCTCCTCAAATAGTAACCTCACTCAGCTGTTTCACGGCTTCGTCGCTGTTGGCAACAATGAAAAGACCAATATGGAGATCAGTCTTTCAAATTAAGTGTCTGATRAAAGGCAGAATAACGAAAGATGGGAGCTGCACACACTGCCACTGGGACTTTTACATCTGTTACTCCCCATCCATCCAGGTGTCWGTATTTAAATCAACAGGATTAACTCTGATTGAACTGATAGTTGAAACAGACCCCCTTGTTTACCCAAAGCTCCTCCTTTTTATATCTCGCATTAAGATCAAATCAAGCCATGCGCAACAGGACTAACTCCCCGCACTCCCCTGCCTTCTGCTGTCCAGAAGAAAGACATCAGAGGTGGGATTCGTCCCCACTCTGTTCTAGCTGCTCCTCCAGACTCCCTTCCATCTGTGATCCTCAGGGAGGAGAAGAATATCTGACAAGGGGCTCGTAAGCCTCTTAGCCCCCCTGTTGCCCAGTTCTCTCTCAGCCCATGTTTTCCTAATTTGGTTGTGTAAGAAGTCCACCACAAGGCCCTTGTGTGCTGTTTGGAATGATATTCTCTTTGTGGTGTAATAGACTGGCTATGTATATCAATTAACACTGCACACCCATGGCAAGGTCAAATCTCTGGAGAGCAGTGGAGATAATTCCTTTCTGACTATTTCCTTATGGCTTCAATAATGTGCATTTAATTAGAWATCAGTTTTGGACAATGGTTATTTACTATATTTAGTTACCATTTCTACAGCTGTTCCTTTTAATTACCTCATTTGATAAACTGAGTGAAACACTAAAATACATATTATTTAAGGCCTCTTTTTTCTGATGAATTTGATTTGAAATATAATGAGAATATTTTTATTTAAAAAACATAGTAAATCTTTAGGTTTAAAACAGTATTAAGCAAATGTGTAATCTGACACTTTTTGTGTAAGTGTTCAAAATGCAGCACAGTTTTTAGGACTTGTTTCTCTTTTCAACAGGCAAGATGAATTGATCACATTTGATGCCTGTAATGTTTTTTTGACAGACGAAAGACATAACTGGTCTCCTAATTTTATAAACACTTTATGTTCTTATTATAGAACAAAATATTAGTATTTTGTCCTCATTCATCTAGACATGACTGCTCACTGCTGAATGAATGGAGATCCCACAATAAGAGGATCACAAAGTTAAACACACAATGATGTTTCCRTCTGCTGCTACTTATATGGGATCCCCCTCTTTTCCTCACTGTAGCAGTGCGGTGCAACAACAGGAGGCCAGCAGTCACAGATGGTTCTGCAGGAAAGGCTGCATTGACTTATTTTTGCACCCCCCCCCCCGAACATGTTTGGCGTGTAATCCTGGATTAACAGGGAGACGTTGTGTTATTTTACAGCTGTAATACAGCATTCAATTAATGCTTGTTGCCCCACCACACACACATGAACTGGGTATTAGGGGCAAGAGATAGTGTGGGTTGCCCGACTCTTTGCCTCGGGGAAATTAGAGGTGATAGAGATCTAATAAAAGGTCTCTGTGGATATGCACCCCATTCTGAATCCCAAAAGAGTCCCTTCACCCATACACTTTATATGAAACAYGCAGGTGATGCTATTGTCTGTGCATATGCACACAAACACACCCATGCACACTATCAATGACTGCGCATGCTTTAGAGAACCAGGCGGCTGCATATGGACCCTTGATATCAGTCACTGGCCGTGTGATCTTGTTATGCAAAGTCCCCTAATCCCTACCTATGATGAATGCATGCTGGAATGGAGAGGTGGGGGGGAGTGATGAAACAGAGATATGAGAGCAGCTGCATGGGAGGCTGTCCACTTTGCGAATGAGTTCTAACAAAGATTTTTGATCCCTAGTCCAGCAGAAGGAGGTGCACATGTGAGATCATGTCTGAGAGAGCATTACAGTACCACACTTGATGGTGGTGAAGCATACTGAGACTATGAAGAAGGGAGATGGACATGCTGCCTCAGTGCAGACCTGTGATTCACATTAACCTTTAGACCACTTTCTTCCCAACTGAGGAATTAGAGGGCCAGAGGTGTTATTCTACCAGCTAGGGGAGTACTGAATTTATAGGTCCTGCAGAACTGAACAAGATAAAGGGGAAAGGTGCACTTCATTTGGGCTCTACACTGAGYATCTATATGTCCCCCTTCACCTGCTCAAGCTCCTGCAGTATTTGTGAAAAGCTGAGGGTTGCCAGGGGTGACTGTGGTATGGAGAGAGTAACAGTAAGGAAGAGAGAGGATGAAGTTGGTCTTTTTTGGATCAGAAAGGACGGTGAATGGGCCAAAGAGACAAACCATGCTAGGAATGAAAGAATAGATACAAAGTTTAATAGGTGAAGTCTAGCTGGAATGAATGAGAGAACATTGTGTGTGAGAGAGAGAGAAAGAGAAAAGTAGATAGAGTAATGGGATTAGGGGTAACACCTTTGGCAGGGCTCATAGAGCCACCTGACACCCAGTCTGTTGGGAACCTGGGGAGAAAGGGGGTGGAGGTAAGGGAGAAATTGGGGGCCTAATCCTTTTCCATCTTTGGGAAGTCATTCCCAAAGCTCTGAGGATTTGGGGCTTTGGTTTCCGCTCTGCTTGCTTTGGTTAATAATACCCTGGGAGGGAAAGAAGACATGGAGAGAGATTGAGAGAAAAAGACACAAGGAATAGAGGAGATGAAGAAAAAGATTTCTTTACCCTGTGGTGGACTAGCCGGACAGCAGCCTGAGCAAAAAGAAAATGACTGAAGCAACAGTAACATTTAAACCTTATACTMTCTATTGTTAGACAGTTTCATAGCAGGTGCTTTTCTTCATATGCACCCATGACAGTGTGTAAATACTGGTTTGCTTTTCTCTGTCCATCCCACAGGTTGAGTAAAAGTCAATAACCTGAGAGTGGCTGAGATGTTTGCTTAGAAGATACGTGTGCATAGTCCTTGTTTGTGTTTGAATGACATTGTTTGCAGGGCAAGTTGTAAGGGTGCCGAGGTGTTTTTGTGTTTCTATGGAGCTGACAGGAGTTGATAACAGCTTTAATGATTGTGGCGGTAGTAGAGGCAGCACAAAGTCAGAGGCTGGCTGCAGACAGAGCCAGAGCTGCTTGGCTGGATGTGTCACAGCTTCTGTGTTTGTCCATCACCTGAGCRCAAGGTGTTGATGGGTCCATCCTACACAGGACCAAAGTTCAGGACAGTTTTCTGGTGTGAACTGGCCACTCAGCCCCTGAGAATGAAACACTAAAGAATGAAGAATGTGTCATCATAGCATTTGGCCAACTGTGGCAACCTTGTTCACACCTTTAAAAATTAAACTCCAAACAGCTTTAAAAAAATCCTTTAAAGAATTTAAGTCTGCCAGGTCTGGAACAGTCTTAGTGGCAGTATATGTGTCGTAACTTTTGTTTTTTCTGTTTCATAGGTGAAGATGTTTCGTCGTGTGCTAGGGAAGACCTTGGGCTTTGTSGGTTACACAATCCAGTATGGCTGCATTGCACACTGTGCCTTTGAATACATTGGAGAGTTTGTGGTGGTTTGTATTACTTGAATTATAGACATTATTTATCTTTTCTCATATTTTTTTGCATAATACATAATAAATTATTTTGTTGTCTTTTGTCTTGACTTAGTGTTCTGGCCCATCCATGGAGCCCACCATTGTAAACCATGATGTTGTCTTCTCTGAACGCATGAGTCGTCATCTTTGTAAAATACAAAAGTGGGTAGGACTGATGTGCATCATAACAGCAGATACAGTATTAAGTGTACTTTTACATTCACGAATGCTTTTGGCTTATAATTATACAAATATACGTTATAGAAAATATCAGATGTGTCGTAATTAATCTGTATGCTTATGTTTTGTTTTCAGGGGTGACATTGTAATTGCAAAAAGTCCATTTGATCCAAATGTGAACATCTGTAAAAGAGTAATAGGGCTRGAAGGTGACAAGATCTGCACAAGTTCCCCATCAAATTTGTTCAAAACCCACAAATATGTGAGTATATTTACATTATACACATATAAACGTGTTGAGGTGTAGGACTTTTCATTTCCTTATATGGATTGCATATATTTTTCTACCTGCTTTACCAAGTGAGAATCCATTTGTTAGGCCTACTTCAAACAACCACAGCTCAGTGTGTTCATAGAAAGAAAACAGAAAGTTACAGTTTAATAAAGAATGAATGAATAAGGTGTTTAGTAGAAAACACTTGATAGTCTCTTTCACCATAAAATGCCAAGGAAATACTTTATGCATTATGCAGAATTGTGTCTCTGTTTTTCTTTGGATGTGCACCACAGTCTATGCGCTGACTTGTTTACATTTTAGGCCATGTACATCTATTTTGTGTCACTGATCAAAAATATCAGCTTTTGACAACACCTATATTTCCTCAGAACAGTGATAAAACCTGAGAGTGAACGAGGTTTCGGCCACTGAAACCACTGTCATTGCTTTTCTATTACTACTCTCCCCAACACCCACAGCTCAGGCCTGCAATCTCTCTGAAGCCTGTTAGAGTTAGTGCCAGCCGAATGGACAGACTGATGGGTGGGAGGAGGGTTGTCTGAGTGTGTGTTTGTGTGTGCGACACTATATGAGAGTCCACAAACCAAAGGCTGTGTTTATGTTGCATGTGTTTGAATTTTTGTTGTATTTTATAGACTATAGGCAGACACTTGGATAAGGTTATCGAAACACAGCACAAGGCCAAGTCTGCAAGTGCCATTCATCAAATGAAAGTAAATACTTTGGTTTCTTCTACTTTCTTTGCATTTAYATACAGATGACTAGAACTTCCAAGCAGTGGGATCAGTGCATTATGATCTATCAATATATGTTGAAAAATGTTTCAGTTTTGAGGCATTTTTTAAGTTTAAACTGCAGTCTTCAAGATTACTTCAAGTTTAAGTTTGTTTCTTTTGACTCCCACTTACTTTGTTTTTTCCTACTGGTTCACTCATATTTTTAGTGTAGGCAATCCTAAATGGTACAGGTTTCACTTTTCAGATCAATGGGCACTCTTCTAAACTGCTTTAGGACAGTTCAATCTTCCTTCTTTTGCCCTTGAGTTAAAAGTTGATATGTGTTAGGTATTACCTTCTGGTACGTAAAAGGATGCTTGTTTGTTTTTTTTGTTTTTTTTGTTCTGCTCTTGGAGGATTAAGACGCTTTTCCCCTCTCTCCCGCTTTCTCTTATCTTTCCCTGCTTTGCTGCTTGGAGCCTCCTCTAAATTTTCATCCAAAACCAAAAATTATAGATTTATTTTTATGGATTTGGTTAGCTGGTCTCAATAAATTTTTGGAACATTTTTTTTTCCATTGGAGGACATGTCAAAGGTGGGACCTCTGTTCTACTCTATTCAACCAGCTGGATATATATTTGGATTCTGATCACTGGATTCTACAGATTGGCTTGGTGGTCTCCTGGTGTTCTACAAAAGGTTGGTGGCTAGTCAGGCCCTTTCCTGGCTGCCTGACCAATATGAAGGATTGCCGTGCTTTCAGCACTCAGACTTTTGCCTTGTGCGAGCTTGGACTTGGTCTGCAAGCGGTTCTGCTGAGGGTTGCGGGCTGGCTGTGGTTCCTGGACTTTGCTGGCAAGATGGAATTGATCTTGGAGCAGCTGAGAGCTCAGCTCGGCGGAATTATCCACACTATTTGTGTAATTGGATTCACCACCTTAAGATGTACCAGCGGACATTAAGGGAGATGGAAAATTATTATTGTCTGCCTGACCAAAAACATTTTCTCTGTTCCCAAATAACTGATTACAGATTTGTCCCCCCCCCCGGATCAAAATTTTCTGGAGTGTTTACGTTGACTTGTGGCTCCTCTCTCACCTCTCCCTGTCTTACTCTGTTTAATCTGATCTCCTGAAGGTCAGTCTGGAGCTGCACAGAATGAACTATTCAACACCAGTATTCTGAACTATGACTGAACTACGTTTTTTTTTCTTTTGGGAGGCTGGATTCTTCGGACTCATTCCCTTTAAATTCCCTTACTCCTCTGGCTAATAAATGTGCTCTTGCTTTGTAGTGTTTTTTTAATAAACACCATAGTGTATCATATTTCGATGATATAATACGATGTTATTTTTTTTCCTCATCTAATCTTCTATGGTATTTTCATTTTTCTTTTTAGAGGTAGCGCGACCCCTGCTGGTTACCGCATGACCTGGTCACCTGTTCCCCCATGTTTTTGTCGTGTGTGTGTCTTCTTGAATGGGTGTTCTTAAATGTAATTTCATTGTGCTCAAGTACAATGACAATAAAGGAATCAATCAATCAATCAATCAATCAATCAATCAATCAGTCAATCAATACCAAAACACGTATTCCAATTTCATCTATGTATGAATGTATGTGTAAGGACAATAGGTAAAACAATAACACATTATCTGATATTTTAACTGACAAGTAAATTAGTTGATCTAACCAACCAATATTACAATGGACTAATGCTAAACTCAAGACTTGGAAATGTAAAAACTGAAGGGTAACTTGGTTATTATCAAATTATTTCTGATACATAACTTTGTCTATTGTATTCACAACAGTCCAAATAAATGCATTAATACATTTCAGCTTTACTCAGATAAACTGAGCCGACAAGGATAACACATAACAGCTGTTTAGGAAATATTAGAACTTACTAGTTTTCACACATTTTAATGCTATATAGGGATGATGATGATGATAATGATGATGCACAATACCTAGAGCATTTTAATTTTATAYATTGTCATATTTATTTATTACGTTTTTACCTCCTGGGGATAAAATGACTGTGTGACAGTTGGCGCAACAGAGAAAATACCTGTTGTTAACTTAAATGTCTGAGTCTCCTCAGGGAGTTGATGTGTTTTTTCCCCTCTCCTTGAGGGGGTTCAAATGTTTGTGTGTGATGATTATGTTGGTGTGAAGCATTATTTGTAGGGAGAATTTTTTTTCTTACTTTTTATAGTAGTGTTAGACCCTGTCTCTTTTCTTGGCCTCTTTTCTTGTTCAGGCAGATAGACACAGCTTTTCCCCCCTCAGAGATCCAACAACTGACTAATTGCTCCCTCACCTTTTAGAAATCATTTCTGTGTCGCAGCTTTTGTGTCAAAACAGTGCCACTTGATCCTAATGTTATATCAGACGAGAGAGAAAGGCACGTGAAAGAAAAGGCACCCATTCATTCTGTTCTTTGCGGTAAAGTAACACGAAATAATATAGCAAAGGCTTAGCTCAATATTCAAATGCAGTATTAAGTTGAACGTAAATCCTCACCCCAATCATGTTAAAATAATGAGCAGTGTAATGACATGGCTGTTGAACAACATTCCTCCACAGTGAGGAGAGCTCCAGTTTCGGTTCTTCTCGACACGTCTCTGACAGGTACACAATGCCTGGCATGGACCCAACCTGCAACCGCTGAACTAGTGCTTTCTTTGCCATCCATCACAACAAAGTTCCCCCAACCTGCAGTATTTAAAAATACTTCAGCTCTGCATTGAGCTTCTGTGGATATTTAAAAACACAGAGAAATGTTCTCCTGTCAAAAGCAGACATATTGATACCATTGGGAACCAAAGTGACAGAAATGCCACCGCTCTGTCTGCAGAGAAACAGATTAATTACAGGCCTTATGTGCTGAAAAAAAAAATAAAGCCAGTGAATGAAGTTGTAGTAAGAAACAATGTCACAATAAATGTATTATCTGGTTTCGTCAGTCTTATTTAAACTCAGAGGTTTCGCTTTAACTTATTCTGTTTCTGTTGTGTTACTCACTCACTTGTGACTCACAAGGTGATACGGTCCAAATGCCTATTGTAGTTCTGACCACAACAAGACAGGTCAGGTTTCCGACCTTTTCTTTTTATCACTTTACTGAAATGTTACCAGTTAATCTTTTAAGCAGATTTGTCTTTACTCTTGCTTGAGTTTCTCTTTGATGTCATTTGCTTTACAAAGCTACAAATACAGTACAAGCCGATAGCTACACTTCTTTTTGCATCACCGGCAAAATGGGTTCTGTGTATGTGGTGTAAAGTTTATTACAGTGTGTTATTGGAGTTGTGATGGTCCAACATTGATAGAACTTAACACAGTTAGTGCCTGACCCCATATGTTTTGTGCTTACAACATTTTCCCTTTCAGAGGTCACACGTTATGAAGGAGCACACATTTAAATTATTTGATGCAACTGAGTTACTGACATTTTGGCCCATTTTCTGCCCCAAAAAATATATTTTTATTGCCTAAAAGAAGCCTTAGATTATTTACTGCTGACAAACAAGTGTTGTGCATCACTGGCAGGAGTGTGTAAAGAGGGAAATTCTCATTTATCAGAACAGAGTCCAAGCAACATTATTATTATGGGACTCAAAGACAAAATGAACAACAATAAATCTCCCCTAAACAATTCAAGTAGTGATTGGATTGATTTTTTTCATGGCCTGCATTGTTGCAACAAAAGTTAAGCTGTTGTTTTACAAATTACTTGCCTCTGAATATTAACAGGTCCACTAAATTTGGATTCTTGTCTAGTGATTTGGTCACATGAACCGATTGTGCATGTATTTATAACACACTGCAGAATTTGACCCTTATAGAGTTGAACTGCCCCCATAACCACAGTAACTGATTTGCATCCAGATGCAAATTTGCCCAGATAGTAACTCTGTCCGACAGTGGATGTTTTTGCTGTGGTTGTTTGGATGTTTCTGATTTGCATCGGTGTTGTTGATCAGTTTGTGGGTTGAATGGAATCATTTTACAAAATGTTTGAACAGGTGGACAGAAAGTTTTCTAATCAAACCGATATACCTGTAGGATCAACACAACCAAGAAGATTTAAAAGAAAAGTAAAAATGATCGCTTTCGATTTGGCAGATGACAAACAATTGTGTTTCTCTCTTTTTTTGTGCTTGGGAGCCAGCATATGTTACCATGTTAATGAGGTGTAATGGTGAGAATCCAGCATGCTGACATATGGTTCTCAGATGACTCCTTTAATGATATTCATTTGTGTCATTGTTAGTCAGTGAGTTGTTTACCTCATGTTAGGTCAATGTGTCACTGGCTTGTGATTATGTCACATCATCTGTCTCAATTATCAAATATGAAATAAAATGCAGCATCTCACTGTAGGACTGAGGACTAATCAAAGAGCAGAGTGATCAGAATAAAGAGCTCAAACACAGGCAAAGATGTGACTTCACCCTTCTGTCACTGGTTTCCTTTTTTTATTCATGTTATTCTCCTTTCAGAGGACTTTTGCCGTTAAAAAGTTAGGCAACACAAAAATAGACTCGTGGATTGTGATGCCCATTATGACAATATAATGTGTTGTTGATCCTGTCTGCACATATAGGGGGACAGCACACTTAATTAGGGCCTTGACAAGCCTACTCTCCTAAAGTGATGAGATTAATCATAATTGGTGTCACTGTGAATTAGAGCCTGCTTGGATGACCGCCCCACTGGCAGGTCGGACCGCGGTGGAGACCCTTGGACACTGCTGCTAGCAGCAGCAGAGTCTCCCTCATTCTCCCTCTACCCAGCTATCTCAGGCCCCACTCTGGCTTTGTCCCCCCAACCCCCTCGCCCATGGTAAGAGGGGCGCAGATCTTAGCCAACAGCCTAATGACCCTGTTTGAAGTCCTTCTAAATCCCTATGCCCCGACGCTGTCCGTTACCCATGACCCCTCTCCTAAGATGATTCAGGTTAAAGAAGGGACCAATAGGTTGACGTTGAGATAGGTGAGGAGGGAGGGGAAAATGAGACAGTTATTTGGAAACAATGGAACAACTCACTTTTTTTAGTTGAACTTAGTGTGAAACTCGTTTTCTGTGTGATATATATTGTCCTGCTTTTGTGTGTAATATTTTTAGGTCCCAAAAGGCCATGTATGGCTAGAAGGCGATAACCTTAAGAATTCCACTGACTCAAGGAGCTATGGTCCAATYCCCTATGCCCTCATTCGAGGGCGTGTTTGCTTAAAGGTAACAACCAAGACTTTTTCAAATGTTTTCTTTTGCAAAACTGTGTAGTTTTCTTTCATAATCCTAAGGCAAGTGTTTGCTCTTAGATAATGTCTGTTCTTTAATAAATGTTTATGTCACTCCATTGTGTCCGTTTTAGGTACAAATCAAATACTTTAGTCAGTTGGACGTTTTAAAAACAAGTGTGAATGATTACCAAAGCCTGGACAACATATTGTCTAGCTTTCCATTTTACAATGTTGTCATGTCAGTGGATGTCATCACAACCATGACCCTGGAAARGGGTCAAGCTTCCTTCTGTCCATCTGATTGGACAGCGGCACTCCACTGGAGGCCCTGCTATGACTGCTGATAAAATAACAAGACTTTTTTTTAATGAGATCAATGCATCATTAAAAACTGTGTTTTTGATTGTGCCAATTGTAAAATGAGTTTTTTCACACTTTTATAGGAAGGTGTTGTTAATATTAGATTCTTATTTATTTTTTTAACTTGTTTTTTTTTTCCTGTTTTTTCCCCTCCTATGCAGCTCTGGCCACCACATACTTTCGGTACCTTGAGTGAGAGCCCAACCCAACGCATTAATAAACCTCCAAGTAACTCAGACTCAGACTGATGCATCCCAATTTTTTATAATGTATCTTGTTTCAATTCATTTTTGAATAAAATTGCTTTTTTATTCAATTTTCTGTCTTTTTATTCAAGGATTTTTATTTTAAATAAGACTAGGGGCATTTTAAGGGATGTTTTTCAATTTACTTTTAGCTTATGCTTTTATATTTATACTATAATTTTATACTTTTAGACTTAAAATGCCTGGTTAATGAACATATTTATAATTGTCTGGCCTTTGTCATCTGGGACCGTTGTAGCTATGAATGACAGAAGAATTGCATAAAACTGTCTGTCGAACAGCTAATGGCATACATGCAAAATATTTGTGTGTTTATTCAGTAAAAGTTTCACAAATAATGAAATTAAGTTTTAAATTGGTATATAAACAATTAACAGTGCATGTGCAAAATTTAGCTGTTTTCTTTTTGTATTTAACAGTTTAAACTATAAGTTGAAATAGTGTACAGGTAGTTGTGATTTTTGTTTTGTTTTTTACAATAGGTAATCTACTTAAATCTACAAACATTATCAGTTTTATGTATGAATCTGCTTAAAATGTTATTAATGTCATGCTTACCCTGTCCTAGTTAAACAAAAGCTCCATGTTTGTTTAATATTTAATTAGTCTGCAAAGACTATTGGAAAAAATGGTTAAMATTTCCCATTTTACCATGCAATATTAATATGCACTTAGGAACGCCTCACTCTTTACTGAATACATTGTGTGGGGGTGGGGCAGTTGTAAAAAGAATTTGACTACAGTTATTGATTTTTTTATGTAGATATAACACAGGCACTCTAAATATGTCAATGAAAATCACAGATCAAATACTTTCTGCTGAGGGTGAAAAGAATAGCGTCAGCCATATCGTTGAAGTCCAAAAAATACTATTTCATTAAAACAYGTTTAAGTAAATATTTTCTTCTACATTATCTATGCATATTTTAAATCTGTGTTTTCTGTCTCAAAGCACCAATAAGTAACTAATATTTGGTCAGTAGAAAAAAAAAAAGCTGATCCTTTTTATTTCCATCAGGCTGCTGACTCKTACAAAAACCACTGCACTGCTGCACATTTGCAAGTCTTGCTCATCCTGCTCAGACCTTCCTGGGTTAGGGACATAACAGCACATTCACATACTGAGCTCAGCTGGTCATCCTCGGAGGCAGAGAGAGACTCTTCTCTTTTGAACTCCTCAGGGGAAGCGAGTTCTGGGCAGCCGTGGGTCCCTGTCCAGCTGCTTCGTCTGTCTGCGGGGGACCAGAGGGTCACAGACAAGGCTCGCTGTGACACTGAATTATCTGCCTGAGTGTGATTTGTGCCTGCTGGAAGGAATACTCAAGATAATACGTGTGTGCGCTCCACTCATGAAAAATATTCTTTAAAGGATTTGCTTCGAGCACCTTTTTTTTTTTTCTCAAGGTTTTATGTTCATCTGTTGCGTGTCAACATGGTGCTGCTGTTCAGCTGAAACGCTGACACAAGTAATCTGAGTGCATCTCCTTCAAGATACTGCCCCATGAGGAGCCATGGCTGTTGACTACCTAAGGCCCTGGTGGATAAAAAGCCGTTTCTGATTTAAGTAATTTCAACAAGGTTAAGTCTAAACAGTGGACATTCACACCACCAACAGTCAACTGGAATATATCTGTATGCCATTCCTTTAAGGGATGGAGGTCAGCTAACCCTTAGGAGTATTTGGCACCAGTAGATGTTAAAAATTAAGTACTGAGATCTGCTTTAATTTAATTTATTTCTTTAATTATTTGGATCCTTGAACCATGCTATGTGTTGCTCCCATTGTCGTACTCTTGAGTTGGATCAGAGTTCCAAGAAGATGACTGAGCAGAGGTGAATATCATGTTCATGCTGAGTGGGCAACAAAGTCGGGAGTGAGACAGGAGGTGAAAGACGTCAGATGAAAGGGACAACAGACAGCTGTGCTGAGCTGTGCAGCGCTGCAGAGTCAGGCTGAGGGGCTGTCAGCCGGGCTGAGGTGTGTCGGCTGCCTTTATGAGAGACTGTGGGGACAATGGAAACTCCTGTTTTCTTTGCAGTCAATGTGTCACTTCCGGTTGTGGAGATAATATTTGATGGCCAATAAGATGGAAGACAATTGCATATTAGCTATTGAAAAGAAATGGATTCAGCCACCTGCTTCTGTTTGTAAATTGCCAACTAAAAGATTATTTTACAAAATATTTTTTATATAAGTGGCTCAGTTGCTGTTGCCAATCAGCAGGAAGGTTGCCGGATCAAATCCCCTGCCAGGGATTTGGGTTTCTGGGTAGAGTTTGCATGTTCTCTCCGTGCATTGCATGGGTTTGTTCCAGATATTTCAGTTTCTTCCCACAGCCAAAAAAACATAACTGTTGGGTTAATTGGTAACTCTAAACTGTCCCTAGGTGTGAGTGAGAGCGTGAACTGTTTTTTATCTCATTTGTGTCCCTGTGATGCACTTTCGACCTGTCCAGGGTGTACCCCGCCCCTTGCACAATGACTGCTGATATGGGCACCAGTGACCCTGAAAGGAAGAAACGGGTAAAGGTGGTGGATGGACGGAATCAATTAAGGTTCTTATTTAAAGTGTTCCCTGCAAATTTATAAGGTTGTTATAAGGTTGTTACTTTTTTAAAACTTATTGTCTTCACCCCAACTGGTTTAATAACAAAACTGTGCACAGCTTCCCCAGGAGCTGCAAAACCTAAAATTATTACTTATGTATTAGTATCCGATTTGATTCAAATCAAGTGCCAAATCAGGTTACTCTTAAATTTTGGATCAGTTTCTTATTATAGCATCTCAACACAACTTTCTACTGGCTATTGCATATTACCTAAAAGTTTTACACTGACTTTATAAAGTCTTACGACAGGGTATGATAAGCAATAAATGGAAGGGGCAGGCAGGACAAATGAGAAGTGGAGTAGAGAATATTCTGTGGCAGAGGCAGGAAGGCAGACTGTATGTATTCATTTCAGGTTAATTGGATCCTTTTAAAGTGCAAAGACACGTGAAAAAGGAGAGCAGGAGGGATGTGCAAAGAGAGAAAGAGAAGCTGTTGTCACCAGTAATGGCTTGGTTTGTTTGTTTTCATATCCATTTTAGAGAATGTGACCCAAAAGTAAACTTTGGTCACACGCAGCAGCACTTGTCCCGACATCCAAATCTCTGCACAGTTCTAGAGAGTTCAGAAATACATTAAATCTGAACCAGGTTAATGATGAAAATTTACTGTGCTTTTATCGTCAACGCTTTTGCTTGTCAGATATTTGTACTTAATGGAAGATGTTTYACTTGCATGCATTTAATCATTCTCTTCATTCTCTTTGCATATGTCTGTTCTGTTGTTTTTCTTTTGTCCAGTTTTCTTCCTTCACTTCGTCTTCTCACACCCTCCTCTCCCATCCTCTCATGTTGCTGACAACCAATGGGGAATTGCTCCTTTCACTGATGGATCCTTTCATTCTCTCCTTTTTAATCAAGCCCGTTAGTACTTCCTAATTAAGACATCAGAGTCCTGTTTGATCACTCTTCTCTGAGAGAGAGATGGGGGGCGGGGGGTGGACAGGGAAAGAGATCATGAAAAGAAGTGTGTACACTCTACCAGTTTCCATTCTGAGTGTGAAGATGACTGAGCAGCTTCAATTGGGGCAGCTAGCTACACCTCCTTCAGCTCTGTTCTGCCAGCCCTTGAGGCTCACAGTGAGTACATCAACCCAAACCAACAGGCATCAACCTCGAGAGATCCATACCAGACAGATGGTATTGGAGGCTGGATGGGATGGCTATCGAGCTCCCTACTGTCAGTTTGTTGTGATGATCACACACACCAGGCTGTCGATGCTCACAGTCCACTAATTAAACCGTTTTCAAAAGAAACATAAGGACAACTACTACATTTGAAAATGTAACTTTTGCTGACTTTCATTTAGGATGTATGACTCTGAACATCTAAACTTTAAAAGAAGCTAATTTTAAGGGTTTTGTCTGAACTTAAGCCTGCCTTTGGCCTTTGTGTTTGTCCCTGGAAGGCAATCAGGAAAATGAGTGCTTCTTTCCTCTAATGGAGCAAACTGGGTGGGATTTTGAGTTTGAATGTGCCGTGCTCTACTGTACACTCACAGAGTGTCCAAAAGGAAAGAAAAGAGACTTTATCCTGAGGCAAAAAACTGATGCAGTAAGGGGAGTGGGTGATTGAAGCTTTAATTTCACAATCCTGACCTATATCTCCTTCTGGCTTCTATATAGAGGGCGAGCATAATTTGTCACTTGGAGAACTCTGTGGATTGTACTGTTGAGACATAATATAAAGGAAAAATGGGCCCAGTCTTGACAGTTTGCTAATACAGACCTTTCACTTAAAATCTGAGTCAAGAAAGAGTTCTGTGTTCTGATATAGATCCAATATATTATAAATGTGAAATGTTTTTAGCACATCCACTTTTATTTATTTGTTTCTTTTTTAACTTTTGGCATCAAAATAAAATGCTTATCTTTTTTTTTACTCTTTTTCTTCAGTGACCATAACCCTCAGATTTATGTTGACTTTGTACAGAAATCTATAGGTAGGAATAGTTTTATCTCTAACAGCCACAACAAAACATATAGGTAATTCCATCCATTAATCCATCCATCCATTCATTCATTCATCCATCCACCTATCCATCCTCAGATCCATCATCTATACCTGCTTCTTCATGTCAGGGACACGGTGGTCACTGGTGCCCATATCCAGCAGTCACTGTCCGAGGGATGGGGTACATCATGGACAGGTCACAAGTCCATCACAGACATACTGGTACATCAATACTCTTATTTAAATATTCATGATATAACAATTAGAAAACAGCCATGCTTAAACAGGACTTGTCAGATGTTAACCCACAGATCCATATTTATTTAAAATAAGTAAATATGATTGAGCTAATGCTATTACTTTTTACAGATCGGACATTTCTTCCACCACTTTCTGATGGTCACTCAGTTAGTCTGAGTCATTGTCTGCTGCTTGTGACTCAGAGAGATTAAAGTACAGTGTGCATGTATTTGTGTGTATGAGAGAGAG